ATCCCCAACATTCTGTGATTCTGTGATAGGAAGAAAAATCAGCGGAGAATGGCTTTGAAATGTTGCTGACTTCTTGCAGAAATAGATTTGTTTCCACAGAGGTATAAGGTTGATGTTTATGTGTACTTCAGAGCTACAGGGTCCAGAGGAGGCCACAAAAATGATCTGAGGGTTGGAACAGCTCTGCTGTGTGAGGACAAGCTGAGAGAGTTGGGGTTCAGCCTGGAGAAGAGAAGGCTGCATGGAGACCTTGTAGTGGCCTTTCAATACTTGAAGGGTCCTATAAGAAAGATGGGGAGAGGCTTTTTAGCAGGGTCTGTAGTGATAGGACAAGGGGAAATAGTTTTAAACTAAAAGAGGGGAGATTTATACTAGATACAAGGAGGAAATTTTTTACACTGAGATTGGTGAGACACTGGCCCAGGTTGCCCAGTGAGGTGGTAAAAGCCCCATCCCTGGAAACATTCAAGGTCAGGTTGGATGGGGCTCTGAGCAACCTGGTCTGGTTGAAGATGTCCCTGTTCACTGCAGGGGGGTTGGACTGGATGGGCTTGAAAGGTCCCTTCCCACCCAAACCAGTCTATGGTTCTATGAACTCTCTCTTGCAGGTACATGGTCAAATTTATATTTCAGTGCACTCAGAATGGTGTGACTAAGCTGGGAGAGGGTGGAATAAAGAGGCATAGAGGTTTTGATTTAGAGGCAAAACACAAATATTTGTTTGCTAATGACTTCTGAGGCTGCCTACTTACATGATAATGTCTTGTATAGTGTGAGTGTACTGCTTTTTCACTGAACTGTGTTTGGTGTCACTGAGAGGAAGTTCATGAAATAGATTGGGCTGCAGTCTTAGTACCACGTAACCCATATGTCGTATTTTGCTGTGGAGTTTAGGGAGTTTAATAAAGATGGTGATGAGTTAATGATTCTGCTGATATGTTTCATGGACAGACTTTATTAATGCCAGTTTCTGAGGGAATCTTGAATTTCTTCTATACTTTCTTCCTTCCATTTTTGCATACTTCTGGCTTCAGAGTGTTGAAATCTTATCGGTATGTATAGTAAAGGATTGTGACTGTGATTGTTTCCACTTCAGGCATCACACACATTTGTTATTTCCTTTCTACTGTTATTTGTAATCACTGTATTTCCTGCTTTTTTATCCAGTCAAGTTTTAATGGGTGTAAACACCAGTACATTATTAGGTGTTTGTGAAGTCTAGAGCCATGTGCTTGATCTTCATGTTGCAATCATAACCTAAAATCCATTTGCATGTGAAACATGGACCCATCTCCCAGTTTTCTCCTTTTGCCTGAAATTTCCTTATAAGTAAACTTAAAAATTAAACTTCTTTACTTTTTTTTCTTTTTAAAGTGAGGAAGGGAAACTGTCTACCTCACAGGATGCTTCTTGTAAATATGTAGTAGAAGAGAATGTGGAGGTTGCAGAAGAGACTCCTTCAGTTCTGCAGCCTACTAACAGCAATCCAGAACAGAGGTAACTGCACTCAAAGATGCTTTCAATCCTCCAAATAGCAGTTTGAATGTTTTTCTAATAGGATTGATCTAAAGAGATTAATGAATTCCTGTTAGTTATCAGCTCTGAGTTTAGCTCAGTCTAAATGTGTGCTTGCATCTATTTTATAAAATTCTCACAAGTTATATATTCTGTTGATTCTAAGACTCTTGAATTGTCAAAAATGTATCTGCTTTGTACTGTTTGTCTTGCAGGGTGTTGTGAATATCCCCGTTCTATTCTGTGCTGTCGAGTTAGAATAGTGAATTGATTCACTTATGAAAATGTTGATTAAAAAAAATTATATATTATGGGAATAAGTTTTACTTTGTCCTGAAAACCTATGTAAGTTAGGTCGACCACTTTTTTTTTTTCGTTCTGTATGCTACACTGCAGAATGGTTTGGGAGGAGCCCACTAGTGCAGCTGTATGGAAAGGAAATTGGACCTTAAGTCATGCTTGTTTGATTGTGAATCAGTTATTATTTGCACCCTTGTCTTCATCAGGTATTAATCTGAATACTTGTAGATTTTGAGAAGACTTTTCAAAGTCCATAAATAATTTGTTTCAAATAAAACTTGCCTGAAATACAGAGCAGCCTGGATTGCTCAGCATACTGATTGGAGGAAAGATGACATTTTTCTTTGGCAGCTTGGCTACTAGTGCAGTCTTGAAGAATGGTAGTTCAAGATACAGTTCTGAGGGGACCACCACCAAACAGAGAAAGCTGCTTTTGCATAAATTTGTTTCTCTTAAGTTGTCAGATAGTACTGCTTTCACCAAAAAAAGGCAGTTGACAGTATTTCTCCCGTTTCATTTCCTGTTGAAGTACTTGTTTGGGTTTAGGTTGTTGGTTTTTGGGTTTTTTTGCCTCTCAGATTCCAATGGTATAGAAGCATACACCATCAACTCTGAGTCTAGCAGGGCTTCACAAAAATCAGTTGCACATAGGGTGATGTTAATCGCCAAATGTTAGAAATGCTTAATGCAGGTGTTTCATATCTGAGCTAGGCTTTAGTCAGAGCAGGATTCATCTTTATCTTAAAAACCAAAAACAATGAAGACCTTAAAGTAGTTGAGAAGATTTCCACCCTTGAAGGCACTATTCAGTGGAGACCTTGTTCTGGCACTTAGGTATGCATAAGTACTTTAAAATCAATATCTAGGCAAGACTTTCCTAGCAGAACTAATGACTTGTTGAACATCAGGTACAATCCCACAGGCTTGGTTCTTGGTGTTAAGGCAAAGGGTGGTGTGCTGCCATTTCCTGGTTTAGATGTAATTCAAGGATGCCTGGAGGAGCTGTACTGTCTCAAAGAAAACTCTTGTAAAAGGCAACACTAAATGTGTATTTCCTAAACCTTGAGTAATCCTGAGGGTCTGCTCCTCTTCCTGCAGGGCAGGGCTTGGGGGATCCAAGCTGTGCATGCTGCCTTCTTGTGGGGAGCTGAGGATGTTCTGAAGGGAGAGAGGATTTTGTTTAAAAGCAATTCCAGAAGGCATTTTTGCCTTACAGTATAAACGGGGTTATGATTCTGAAAAACAAAATTCAGAATTTATATCTACACACATAAATATTTTCTGAATCTGTATTTAACTAGTTGTTTTAAGAGTTTAAAAGCTGGCGCTTCTTGACCTCAATATGTAAGAGAAACGTCATATTTCTCACACAAATCCTGTGAAAATAGTAATCATTTTAAGACTTTATGGATGCTAGATTAAATATTTAGCTCTCTTGTGAAGACAAAATTGGCATGTTTTTGTAAGCAAAGATTTAAAGTATAGCTCTATATCCATCATGGAACTCTACTGCATGTTCTGTTTCTACTGTATGCAGACTAAGATAAAGATGCAAGCGTGTTTGACAGATTTAGATGCTGTTCTTTAAACGTATGAGCTAGTATGTCTTACCTCTGTGGTACTGGGTATTACACTAAAACACTGCTGCCAGAACTTTTTACTCTGCATAAATGCCACAAATTTAATCAAGACATGGATTCTAATCAGAAAAAACCCAACCCTGTATACTTAGTTAAAGGGGGAAATCCAGAAACTGATTTTCACAGCCTCTTCTTTATCTGGAGGAACTGTTTTTATCAATACAATATTTTTAATGCTGCTAAGCATGAAGAGAAGTCTTTGGGCACGAGGCGATTGCCTTTTGAGCATAGATGCTTGTGGAAGCCAGCAGAGGGCTCTCGGAGCTAGCAGTTGGTTGCTTTGGAGTTGCGGGAAGGCCACAGAACTCCTTTGGTTTGAATCCAGCTGGCTTCAGCAGAGCTCAGTACTTTATCTGAAGGTGGCTGTCACAGCAGATCCTCATATAAGCGCAGTATTAAATACCAAGATAAACATAATGGTGCTTTTGGGGCTCCATGCATGTATGACTAGTGGGAGGAGTCCCCGAGGTAGGTCTTTGGCTGGTGGCCAGCAGTAGTAATCTCTGCTAGGAGCCCTGTTCTGTCACGGACCTTTTTCCAGTTAATAAGTGATGTACTGCTATGCGGACTGTCAGGCTGCCTGTCCATGCAGCACTTGTTTCTTACCTTCCAGTTTTCTCTAAAAAGTATTTACTTTTGTCTAGTGCTGTCTGTCTTCTGTCTAATATGTACATATTTTTTTTAAAAAAGTGTTTTTAGAGCTTAGCAGCCAAAGACTTAGCTAGGGGACTCCTGCTGGTCATGTGCATGTAGAGCACGGACCCAAGAGTGGCTTCTCTGTGATGTACACCATCAGAGAACAGGAGTTACAGGTAACTTTTCTCATGTGTAGTTCCAAATGGTATTTATGTTCTTTAAGAGACTCTTCACTTGTATTTAGTAGATGTTTACACTAAACTTCTTATCTAGAAACATATGTACTGTTATTGTTTTCACTTTTGCAGGTTTGCTTCTTACTTTCTGACTAATGGGCTGACATTCAAAGTGTTTGTGAAATGGCAGTTTGTAAATTAGATTAGTAACTAAAGCATTTTTTTTAAGACACTTGTTTTTCCTGTTCTGTCTTAGGTGCTTACTCTCAAGTGCAACCTTAAGTACTCCTGGTATCACACTTTGCCTTGTAGAATAAGATTTGGAGAAGCATCAGAAATGTGCTTTTTATTAGTGATTCATTTGGGGAGATATCACATCACTAGAGATCACTTAGTAGCTTGGTTAATAAAGATCAAACACTCTTCAGTGGTGTGCTCAGTTAGTTAAAGTGCTATGTTTATTAGGCAATAAGGACTGCAGAAATGCTGGACTCCAGAAAATAAATCGGATGAGCTTGTGTTTCCTTCTTGTCAACTCAGGGGTCATGATACACCTGATCTGAGGTGGTGGGGTTTTTTTTGTTTGTTTGTTTGGGTTTTTTACACCTACACAAACTTGTTCTGGACCCTTCTTGTTTCTGGTGTACTTACATCTTGTTTTGGCCTCTTAGGACTGATCAACACACCCATTTAGGAGAGGCGTCTGTTAATGGCCCTGTATGATATGTGATGTCTGCTACCTTGGCTGAAGAAAATGAACTGATATCCAGGTGTTTGAGTGTTTCTTGAGGATTTCATCTAGACCCTGTTGAAGCCAGTCACTGCTGCACTAATTTCGCAAGAGATCAGGACCAGCAACATTTATATTCTAGATTTTAAGACATTGTACAGAAATTCATAAGTGTAAAAATATTGCACATTGAGAAATACCAATAATTTTTGCGTATGTTTATATTGTATTGTTCTAAATAATGGGTGGCCTGTGAAGTAAGATCCTGCTACCCATGTAATGATGACAGTAGTGTTACTATAGTTAAAATGGCTGTAAGAATAGTTTTATAAAAAAGTGAATACACAAATCTAATGTATTTGAGACCTAACTATTTGACGATTAGTGTGACCAAAGTATTTAGCAGTTTTCATACATTTTTCACCTTGTAAAAAGAAAAGAAAAAAATGAATTCATGTTTCTTCTGAAACTAAAATGCCCTATAAATGTTATTTTGGTTGTTTTAGCTTACAAAAGTGATTTAAATAAGAATTTTTTGGTGTTCAACATTTTACAACAGGTTTTTTAATTGGTAATTGTTTTCTGTATTGTTTAAAACAGATCAAAAGTGTAAGTCTATTGGTAGAGATTTTAAGTATTTATTGCTACAACTTAGTTGACAAATTGATGTTACTGTAAAGCCATATGTTCTGTTAAGTCTTGTTTGCTTGAAACAATACCTTACAGGTGAAACACTAGAATATTTGAAGTGCACATGGCTTGTTGTGTTTAAAGTGATTCACCTGCGTTTTAACCCATTCACCAAGATTTAGTTTAATATCAAGCATTATACAATGGAACATTTCAGAACAATCTACGTATTTAAAACGCTATAATCCTTTTAGATAAGTAAACAAAATGCCTGTGCTGCTAATGTAATTGCAGTACATGCATTTTAAAAGTATATAGTGTTTTTAATACAAATTTTGGCAGCGGAGCATGTTAATTGTTACTTTCACTGTACTGATCTATGTGAGGCTTTCATTTGTATGTTCTAAACCAGTTTTTTCAGAGCTGGTTTGTGTATATATATAGTGATTATGGAAACTAATTCTGTGTAATTTATAATTTTCTATGTCAGTGTAAAATTCCAACAGCCTTCTCAAACAAACAGAAGCAATATACTGTATATTGCCACATTGTCTGGTGAAAGGGTTAAAGTACTTCACCTCCTGCACTTTTAGATGCAAATCCACTTTTGTTTCTGTAATAGTTCTATTCCTTTATTTTTTACATCATTTGTTTCCTGACCAGTATTTAAAGCCAAAAGGATATTCAAAACAATGGCCAATGCTTTATTTTAGAAGGTGTCCCAAGCAACGTGCCTAAACATTACATTGCATACAGAAATAAAAAAAAAAAAACCAACAAAAAACCAAAACCAAAATCACATATGTATAATGGCATTGCCCTTATTACTTCCTATGTTGCATTTTCTACAGGAAATTTCAGTGGCACTCAGCATTGCAAATTGTTACAAACCGATCAGTTGTGTGAAAATGGAGGGAAGAAACCCCAGTATCATAGTTAGAATTGGCAACTGTGGTTGCCCTTTATAAATGTCAGTTTCTAAGTTGTTTCTTCAGTTCAAAAAGACTTCCAGATCAGCTTGTCCAAAAATGTTTTATATATTAGTTTTAAGGTTGGCAGCTGTCCTTCTATCACTTTCTGATCTGTTCTTGAACAAGCAGTTTTGGAAACAAAACCACTCATTTCAACATATGAATTGCAATCCAAGTAGGAATTACAAATACAGGAGAGTAGTGTTTTGGCTTACGTTAAGTTTGATGCTTATAAGGAGTAAAACTTTTTTCCCAGTGGAGCTCTTTATCCCTTGCTAACAAGTTGCATTAACTAGCTGCCTTGCCATGAAGAGTGAAGGAGATACTGGCAGCAGATGAATTGAAATTATTTCAACTCTGTTGTCTGCAGTTCAACAAAGTCTTAGAGTACGTTGTCCTTCCTTCTGTTAATGAACTGTCCTATCAGTCCACTATACAATTCATATTGAGCTCAAAATTGAAAAGGGGGAGGATTTTGTCCCCTTTCCCTCTGTTCCTGGTAGGTGATATCTGTAAGAGATGGTGAGTGGAATTCACCCTTCAGTGTAGTTTGCCTTCTAATGAAAGAGTGCAATAGAGGTAAACTAGGTTGGCCTAATGCTGCTTCCCGTTGTCTTGAGAGGGTTCTTCCTTGCTATCACATTTATTGTTAGCTTTAACTGCTTGTCTGGGAGGTGAGTTAAGCCTGGGATTTAACCTAGATTTGGTGTAGTGTGAGCTTTTTCTGAGGAGGTGTAGGGTGTGTTTTACCCACTAACTGTACTACATGTAGAAGGAAGCCTGAACTTGAAGGGAAAGCTTTGGAGGTGTGTTTTGGTGGGGGTGTATGGGTGTGTGTACACACACATCGGCACACACCTTTTGGCATCTTTTACCAACAGTTTGTGCTGCTCACATAGGCTTACAAAGGTTTGAACATACTGTAGAGTTCTTCTGAATGGCTGTGTTACCCAACCTGTTTAATCAAGTTTGACTTCCATGCAATAGAATTTGAGTCTTATTTATTAAAAGATATTGAGTGCATTTGTGAGATGGGCTAAAGTCTAATACCTTTGTACAGGTTGGACTCCCTGTAGTGTATTGAGCAGCAGTTGGGATGAAATAAGCTTGCTTTGAATGGCTTGTTGATAATCAAAGGGCAACGGATTTAACCTTCAGGACTTCTCTGATAAACGATTTTAACACAAACAAGAGTGTGTTGCAGAAGTGGCTAAACCAGTAATACATGCAATAGCTCATTGCCTCTTCAGACCTGTGTGACTGTTGCCTGGTAGAGTGGATGAATCATGCCTTCTTGACCAGTTAAACCATTATTTTTAAGTGTAAGCCTTGTACTAGATTTTATATCAAGATTATTCCATTTAAGTAATAGTGTAAGCTGATGTCTTGACTAACATTATTATTATTGAAGCAAGCATTTCCCCTGTTCAGTGAGTTGACAGGTAGTCACTGAGAAGACAACAGGATAGTTGAAGCAATCTCATTATGTCATTGTAAACGCAACCACCTGTGACCGTGCTCTGAGTGAAACCTACCTTCTCGCTCCTGTTAAGCCTTGTATCTACCTCTTGAAAACAGTGAGTTCTGTGTTGTCATCTGCATACTCCTGTGGAAACTTACTGTGATACTCATTCTTTATGTGAAATCCACTGAGGAGTTCCTAATGACTTGAGGAAGATGAATCAGGTTGTTACTGTTGTTCATTATAAACTTATTTTCCTGTTTATGTTAGATTTAATTTCCTTGGAGATTGTTCTGTTTTCTGACATATGTCTTATACAGTTATATCAGGAAGTATTTATTGTATATAACTGATGACTTATTAATATACTTAAACAATCACTTCTGGCTGTCTCAGAATAAATAGCGCTTTCTCCAGTGTAGTATAAGTTTCATTATAGAAGTGTCTGTATTGTTTCCCAAACCAGGATGGAAAGTAGAAGTTAATGCAGCAGCGACAAGCATTTTTTGTTAAGCTTTTTAACTTCTGTCTTTCAATTTCTGCATCTTACTTCCTAACAGGTAAGGATTTGGCATCTTTCTGTTCATTTATTGTTTGAATGTGTAAGGTTGCAGCATGGAGGAAGACTTAAGGCAATAAAATTAAAATTAAAAAATACTCTTAACATGAAAATAGAGGCTTCTTCCTGCCTTCTTTAGTTAGGACAGTCGATGAAATCTTTTGGACTTGCCCAGACCTGGCTTGGCTTTCTGGTTCAGATTGGTCCAAGCCTGTGATTTGCCCTGTGCTTAGTCTTGGTTAATGGCTTGTGTGTAATTACACTTCTCGTAATGACGTAGTAGGGTAGTCAGTGTGCACTTCTTGCTCTTCTACCACAAGCAGTAATGAGAACTGAACTTTACATTGTGTTTTGCTAGTAGTATGTTTCAGAATTTCTCATAGATGAGTCTGGGCTTAGCGTTTGATGCATCTTTTTTTCATTGGAGAGGGGAGCTGTTTCTGCATTTGTATCTTTTCTACATCGGTAAGTACTTTGCAAAATGAGGTAGGGTTTCCTTTAATTCATCTTTCTGGCCATAGCTTAAGTACTGCAGTTCTGATTCTAGGACCCTCTTCAGAAGGAGTGTTCTCCCTTCTCATTCTGGATCTCTTCTGAGTGAGTGTGGGTGCTGTCCTGTGATCTGTGTTCTCTGCATCTCAACCCATGGATTCGGAAATTTAGATCATGATTGTCTATTGGCATACAGTCATCCAGAGAAAGAGAACAAAATCTTGCCTAGCAGTGGTTCAGTAGATTTTATTACTTGTGTCTCATGAGATTCAACTTCCATTTGCTCATGTGAAGTTTACCTGATTGTCTCACTACTTTAGTCTGTGGATTGTAATTAAGTACATAGGTGGTTGATTTTCAAGAGCATCATAGAGATGCTTCATTTTTTCAGATGGAACCTGAGCCTTTACTTGCAGATCTGTTGCGACTGCTTTTGAACTCCACTATGTGCGACTCTTTCTGTCTTTCTTAACTGAGGGGGCTTCTTCCCTTCCCCTCTTATCTACACCAATTAACTGTCAAAGGTTGTCACCATTTTATCTTGGGTTTAACCTAGTTCTTTTGCCGGGGCACTGAAGCCTGACTGCATACATTGCAAATAAAACCTGCTTTTCCTTATACCAAACAGAATTAAGTGTTTGGAATATTCCTCTTTGTTATTTTTTCAAATAAATGATAGTGTTGACTGTCTTCCTCTGGTTTTTGTATCAGACAATGGCACCTGATTGCTAAGATAAGCCTGCTGACTGCTAAAACTCAAGTGACCTTACTTCTGTTGTTGGAGTTCTCCAGAGCACCTTTTCTGCTGTATCCTTAGAGAAACACTTGTGGATGATGCTGTATTTGTTAAAAAGTGGTGGTGTTCTGCTAAATCATCGTTCTGAAGTGTACTTTCAAATGAGAAGTGGTCTGCTTTGGGGTGAGCTGTGGTGGACTGTGCATATTGATCAGCCAGCATTCAAATGTGGAAAGGTGGGAACCAGGAATTCAGATGTTCATGGGACTGTGAGGTCCTATTCTTTCTCTGCAGTCCTTTCAGAATTGAGAGGCTTGAAAAGATAAGAGCTGAAGCGTGCAGCGGGTTTGGTTTTCTTTTTAATGCTGGTACTGTGCATGTCGAGTTTGTACGCTAAAGACAAGTCTCTGAATTCGGGAAGTAGAGGGTGACTTCCTGATAACTAAATTGTTTCAGGTGTGTTATTTACAGGATTCATACATAATTCGTATTGATTGCTATGTCCAAGCATTTCGGACAGTTTTTAACTAAGCTGTATATGTAGAGATACGTGCTTGTATGTGCACACATCAGTGGGTAGGATATATTCTCTTCTCAACGGCCAGCTGCAGTGTGGCTGGTGTGTTTCCTAAGGGCAGCGTACTGCAGAATGCTAGGGAGAAGGAGGTGCTTGTGCACATGGTACAGTCTGCTCTGAAGCACTTCAGTAAATATAAAATGGATTTAAGCTCCTGTTTCTGTATGTGTAGACACTGTGCTCTCCAGCCAGCCTGAGTGTAATTTAATGGGAGGAGGAGCCAGTGCCTCTGGTTTCTGAGGCCAACTTCAACTTTTATCAGAGAATCATAGAATCACAGAATGTTGTGAGTGGGAAGGAACCTGCAAGGATCATCAGTCCAACTCCTGTCCCTGCACAGGACAATCCCAACATTCACACCATGTCCCTGAGGGCCTTGGCCAAATGCTGCTGGAATCTTGTCAGGCTTGGTGCCATGAGCACCTCCCTGGGGAACCTGTTCCAGTGCTCCACCACCCTCTGCCTCAAGAACCTTTTCCTCATGGCCAACCTCACCCTCCCCTGCCACATCTTCCTGCCATTTCCTCTGCTCCTGGCATTCGTTGGTGGCCAGAGAGAAGAGATCAGCGCCTGCCCCTCCTCTTCCCCTTGGGAGGAAGTTCTAGACCCCCATGAGATCTCCTCTCAGTCTCCTCTTCTCCAGGCTGAACAAACCAAGTGACTCCAGCCTCTCCTCATACGGCTTCCCCTTTAAACTCTTCACCAATGTTGTGTCCTTCCTCTGGACACTCCAGCAGCTTTAGATTCTTTTTATCCTGTGGTGCCCAATACTGCTCCCAGCTACACCAGTGCAGAGTGCAGTGGGACGCGAAAGATTTCTCTGCTTCTCTTGTCCCAACTATTTGATATATTTGAGCCATTTTGCTGACATCTTTATAGGTTCCCAGAAACTAAGGCAAGAATTGTATTTGTGATTATTGAATCAACAGTGCTTCTGCCAAAGTGCTTAATCTGTGAACTTGGACTG